CACACACACTCTCTCCCCCTCACTCTCTCTCTCACTTTCTCCTCTCTCTCACACACACACACACACACACACACACACACACACACACACACTGTGGTCAGTGTGAGATTTTCTGTCCGCCTTGCTCTCCTCTCAGCAAGATTACAATCTTAATGGAGCTTCCTGAGTAAATTAGTGATTAGTAAGTCAAACAAACAGAAAATCTGCGGCCAGTCGCAGGACACTCTGTGTGTGTGTGTGTGTGTGTGTGTGTGTGTGTGGGTGTGTGTGTGTGTGTGTGTGTGTGTCTTTGCATATGCAAATCATGAATTCATGTCTGTGTGTTTCCTTAAACTAGACAGCAATGCTATATCCTGTAGTTTAAATTATTTCACTAAGCATTTGCAGATGAAAATGAAGCACAGTCGAAAACACTTTCCTTTAAATCCATCACACAGACACACACACAGACACACACACACACACACACACACACACACACACACACACACACACACACACACACACACACACACACACACACAGTTCCAACTGGTGTTTATGACAGCAGTACAGTTTGTACAGTAGGAGCTGTTATTTCGCAGAAGAATATTTCCATATGCATTTTTTCGCTGTAGGCTTAACGCGGACCTGTTCAGTCACGTCCTGTGTGTTGGTGTGTGTGTGTGTGTGTGTGTGTGTGTGTGTGTGTGTGTGTGTGTGTGTGTGTGTGTGTGTGTGTGTGTGTGTCCAAGCAGGTTCAGCATTATATACAGTAGCTTTGGCAATCATCTAACTGTACAACACAACTTGACACACTATAATAGATCTATATATTCCCCAGCAGCCTTCTTTATCAGGTCTGTGTTTGCCTGCTGTACGTTTTGTCAATGAACTGCATTCCACGAGACTCCCATTCAAAGTGGCTGACTATGGCGGGGCATTTTACTGTCGGTCGACGGCGGTACTGTTGAGGTTGATACAAAGTGTGTTGTGATTCACATGCCTCATATTTCTCCATCTTCTCTCCCCTCCCTGTCTCCCCTCTTTCTGTGTCTGTCTCCAGTTACAGGAGTACTACAAGAAGCAGCAGGAGCAGTTGCATCTCCAGCTTCTGACTCAGCAGCAACAACAGCAACAACAGCAGCAGCAGCAGCAACAGCAGCAACAGCAGCAGCAGGCCGGGAAGCAAGCAGCAAAAGAGGTGAACTTCAGCAAGCACACACACTCAGCTCAAGCACACTCTGAAGTACACGAGGACCCTTAAACGCAGTAAAAGTGGTTGACATGGGAGCCAGCTGAAGAAAGAAATCCCATGAAGGATATAATGTATAGATATGTCAGCTCTCTTTTCCCCTCTCTTGTTACATCCTATGCTTCACTAGTTTATTGTTTTGTGTACAAGCTTGTCTCAATACAAGGATTAGTGAATATGGATTTTCATTTCTTCCAGCAGCATGCCATGCCGAGGCAGTGAAAGAGTGCTGCGCTAAGCCTTACGCTATCCTGCCAAAGTATTCATCTGCGCGCCTTTAGCTCTAAGCCCGAGGTGAAATCTCTCTGTAGGAGGGGTCTGCCACTCTTTTAATTGTCAATTAACCTCGCCAGCATTAAGAGCCTCCCTTGCTCTCCTTTCTCTGTCTCTCACACACACACACACACAAATATGCATGAACACTATCCCAGGTTTAACCACAGCTGTGGTACAGAAGGAGATCAGAGGATCAACTAGGATCACATCGTGGCACAACAAAGAGGGTCTCTATCGATCAGGTTACTGATTGGCTATATGTGTGTAACAGAGACATTTTGATGCTCCTGCACAAGCATTACGGAACACATAGAGGGCCATGCAGGAAACAGACTTAGGGAGAAGGGCCTCATGAGACTATTCATATAAACGCATGAGGAGACACATCCTAGATTTCTCCTTCTCTTCCTCGTCCCCCTTCTCCCAGTGGGCAGACCCCCCCCCCTTACACCCCGCCCCACAAACTCTTCACCGACAGCGGTCAACCAACTCGACCGTGACCAAAGCAAACCAGTTGTGGTTGACTCGCATGTTGAGAGGGTGTCTGCATCGCTTTCCCCCTTTCTCCCTCCTCTCTGCTGCTGTCCCACTTTTCAGGTTTGTTGTCCTGTAACAACGAGACAAGTGCAAACACTGGTCACACGGCTACACATACATGCAGAGAGAGAGAGGCTTGATGTGTGACGGTTCACCGCACAAACACACCCACTTGAGGGAATATGCCTCCCCACAGAACTGCATACAGCTGATATGACTAAGGCCATTTAGTAGTAGTCAGTGGTTTTCAGTTGCCGCGAGCCGTCAATCAAAAACACCTTTTTAGTCGACTCTCGTATCTGTCCTGGTCAAACAGCTGCTGTCAGATATCGAGGCAGGGAATGTGTTTCATTTGTGTTAGGCTTGGTCTGTTTGTGAGCCTGTCCTACACTTTGAGATAATCAGCAATCAGCTTGGGATATTTTCTCTCTAGCAATGAACTACTGGTGAGAGTAGTGTAGAAGAGGATTTTAACCAAATTCAGATTTGAACAGGCCTTTTACACACACACATAAAAAGAGGACAGAAGGAGACAAAGGAGACGGAGGAGGAAAGAGGGAGAATAGAAAAGAAAATCTCTCCTTCGGCTTTCCACTGTTTGTGCTCCAGTGGTTGTGACTTTTTGCCCTTTTCCCTCTTTTCTGCAATTTCTCTTCACTTTCTTGTCTGCGTGGAAGTGATGCATTGAAAGAAAGAGTATGTATGTGTATGTCGAGTCAGTGTTTGTGTGTCGCCGGTGCATTTGGGACTGGTCAGGAGTCAGCTTAATGAAGTGGCTCTGACCATCACAAGAGATGTGTGCATGTGTGTGTCTGAGATTCTCCTCGACTGTGTGTGTGCGTGCGTGTGTCTGTGAGTATCCTTCTAGATGTGTGTGTGTGTGTGTGTGGGTGCGTGAATCTGTGTGACTGGCAGGCTCAGACAGTGTGTGATGTGCTCATAAATCACATTGACAGCCTGTTACTGCGCTAGCTTTGGCCACTCAGCCACAGCTAATGTAAACAGAACACAGGCTCGTGCACACACACACACACACACACACACACACACACACACACACACACACACACACACACACACACACACACACACACACACACACACACACACACACACTATCTCTCTCTCTCACTCAATCTCTCTCTCTCACACACACAGACACACAGACACACTATGTGCTATTTCAAATCAATAACATATGATATCACTGTTTAAACAAAGTGTGTGACTGCTTCAGCCGTCATTCTGTATGTTCCTTTTCCTAGACATGGCCCCACACACACACACACACACACACACACACACACACACACACACACACACACACACACACACACACACACACACACACACACACACTATGTGTGTTTTAAAGAACCATAGCCATATCTCAAGAGAGAATGAGGGACAGAGGGGGGAGTGGAAAAAAATAAAATGGACAGACAAGTAGAAAAGGAGGGGCAGGAGGTCTGGAGAGAGAAAAGAGAAAACAGTTCATTCAGGACATTTCATCATGATAGACCATTTATTGTAACAAATGAGAATTTGGCAGTTCACTTCAAAGAACTGAATCATGTAAGAATGACACAGATTTTGTCTATGACCACAACACCAATTGCCTTTGACAAAGTTTGCAATGAGTCTTTGTGGTCCTAGAATTCTCAGTTTACAGTAATGTGGATTCATTTCTCATCCCTTAGAAACTCTTTAATGAAACTGGCCCAGATTTCCAGCAAATAATATGGTACGAATATTAAAAAACACTTTTTAACTTACTTGAAAGCTTATAGCTGAATTCCAATTGAAACAGCCGCTGGAAATGATGTTTCCCCTCTCTTTGTTTGAAACAGTTGTTGTGATAATTCCTCTGCACCCCCATAGCAGCCCCCTCCCACTCGCAAACACACTGCCATCACACTTCTTCTCCCCAGGCACTAAGTCTGAAAGGAAGTGACCTATCTGCCCTTCCTGTGAGATCCTCGCTGTTCAAAGAGGCTGCCACTCTCTCTATCTCTCCCTCTCTCACACACACACACACACACACACACACACACACACACACACACACACACACACACACACACACACACACACACACACACACACACACACACAATGAGCCGTTCTTCAAGTTGTATTTATTTATTTTTCCTCTCTACTTGTTATCTGCAAAAGATAAAGTCCATCTCTTTTGGGGGTTGGTCAGGGAGGGTTCAAACAGCCCAGGCCAGGTTTGACCCAGACTGGGAGGGCAGGAAAGGGGACATTTATCACCGCAACACACACTGACATTATCGCCACGCGCCATGTAGTCTCTCCCACTCTCCCTTCAAACTCCCTCATTGCCTTTACCTCCTCCTCCTCGCAGCTTTCTTCTGTTTAATACAGGACTTTTATTTGATATGGTGTTAGTGGACTTTATGCTTGAATTTGTTAGGGTTGAATGATGTAATGGGACAGGCTGACCAATTTAAATCACAATAACAATACTGGGAAGGGCTTCTTTTTAGATGAAAGACGACAAAATCAAAGGCAGCTGTCTGGCGGTCGTGTGAAAACTATAATTCACACTTTTACAAAATGTTATTCTTTGTTATAGTTTGTTGTGAGGGCCAGAAGATTTCTGCAGAATTGCATGGGTCAGTGTACTTTCATGGATTCTCTGCCAATATTAGCAGAGGGCGTATTAATACAACTGTTGGCACTCTGCAAACTTTGATCACAAATTGACATATACATCAGTGGGTGGCCAATGGACCAGTGGGAGCTATATTTCAAAAGAAAATCATGGATATCTGTATTTATAACCTATTTTCAGAATGAATAGAAATTATTTCAGAAATATTAAATAGCTACAAAGAGTAAAAAAAATGAGTAAGGAAATAGGTGCGTATAACATAGAAGTAATACGTAACTTGATAACCTTTTCCCCCCTCTGTCTTTGGCCCTCAGCAGCTAGGCAGTAAGCAGTTGGCCTTCCAGCAGCAGCTGATCCAGATGCAGCAGCTCCAGCAGCAGCACATCCTCAACCTCCAGAGACAAGGCCTGGTACCACTGCAGCCCACCGCCGCCATGCAGTCTCTGCAGCAAGGTACGTGCACGCGCCGGCACACACATTCATAAACAAACAACACTCAGTCACACAGACACAGACACATCCTGACAAACATGCATGCATACACACATGGTCATAACCGAGCACACACACATACACACTAGCCTGTACCCAGTGCCGCATGTGAAGCCTGTTAAGTTAATCAGCCTATAAAAGATAAAAGGAACCTGATTGGTGGGTTTGTGGAAGGTACTCATTTGGATAATAGGTAAAATATGCCACTAAGCCCCCTGCTTGGAGGTGTGTGCATGAGCTTTTGCGAGTGTGTGTGTGTACTTGAGATTAGCCAGACACATGAACATCATCGTTTTGCTATTGCTGTGCCCACTGGATATTGTTCTGTTGCTATATGTAACTGCTCCCACAGTCCCTTCTTTTTGTCAGCATGGTTTAAGAACGATAAATGTTGACTGTTTGCCGGCCTGCCCTAAGTGAACATGTGTGTGTTTTTCTACACTTTTGCCTGTGCACAATAATGTCTTAACGCATGCACACACACTACCTCACACGCAGAGAATGCTTTAGGGGCTCTAAAGTGGCCGTAACATTGCTAAACCGCTGACTGAGTTGACCAAACAGACCCGTTTCCTTCCCTCCGTCTGTGTGATCTTTCTCTCATGCGTGGTCACATGCAAGTCACACACACAAGCACACACACTCATAGTCGCTCTGTTATTTGAACCTGCCAAAAACAAACATAAACCTAATCAAATCATTTTAACTTCAAAAGGTTTCATTTCAAATACTGCAGGACCCAACATTTTTACAGAAACCTGATCTATGCATGTGTGTGTTTATGTGCTAGAGGGCAGGGAGTGTTTGTGTGTGTGTGTGTGTGTGTGTGTGTGTGTGTGTGTGTGTGTGTGTGTGTGTGTGTGTGTGTGTGTGTGTGTGTGTGTGTGTGTGTGTGTTGTGTGTGTGTGTGTGTTTGTGGTTGTGTCCGCCAGAGGGTAAGTGGAATTAAAAGTGTACAGAGAGCAGGAAAAAAATCCATAGAAGATACAAATTAAAAACAAATAAAAAGACAGAAGCCACAGTTTTGGATAAAAGATGTGTTCATTTTCCGACAGATACAAACATTTGGCTCTGGCATCTCCTTCTCTTTCTCACTCTCTCCCTTCGTATCAGAGTGGAATTTCCCTGCAGTGTGAAAGAGCCGGTCCATTGTGACGGCTCAGCCAGGCGTGAGGCAGAGCATTCCTCTGACCAGCCATGCCACACAAACACACAAACACACATGCATAAACACTTGCACCTACACACATACACAACTGCACACACTATTGCCCCGCCTCAAAGGGCCGTTGTGTCCGGTGGGTAGCTGGTGGGGGGTGGACATGAGTGGGGTCCTGCTGTGGGTATTGTTTATTTCTCTTACTTGGAGGCTACTGAGTTCATGGAAAAAGAACAGAGAGTACTAAACTACTATCAATCAAAAAGTAGTTTCTATTGAGATTGTGTTTCAGCACTCAAATATAAATAAAATGCATTACATTTGACTTCATCCTGTTAGACCCGCCTTCTTAGTAACTAAAAGCCACGTAAATCAATGATTTACAGTAAGCAAACATACTCTCATCCTCACAAATACTTTGTAGGTGACAACACTAGATTGGGGTAATTGTGAGAGGACATTTTCACCTGAATAAAATACACACAAAATCAAAAAGCTTTGTTTAAAAGTCTGCCCAGCTCCTGGCTGCTTACTGTTTAAGTTTGTTTCTAAACTGCTGACTTTAACCAGAAACAAAATATCAGTTCTTATCAAATTACATTTTTAGCTTCTTATTTCTTATTGCCTCTTATTATTTACACACCGCCTCATTCCTCCAGAGTGAGAACTTTTGTTTTGGCGGGACCACAGAAGAATGCAGACAAAGCAGACATAATATTTGGATTGCTGCAAGGTCTCTTTAGGTGTGTGCGTGTAGTGTGTGTGCAGTTGTGTGTGTGTGCGTGCATGGTAAGATCCATTGGAGTAGGCTGTGGCATTTTAGGCGTCTCTCTAACTGTGAAATTGGAGCAGAAATAACAAAGCTGCAACTAGAGAGAACCCAAAGTGTGCACCCACCCTGTTCAGACAAATAGTGGTAGTGACAGGAGCAGTGGTGCTGGTGGCTAGCAGCAATTGCCAACAGAGATTAGGAAATAGTTGAGGAACAGTGAATATCTGGAAAGATAACAAAAACATGCAGAAATTAACCTCTTGTCTGTTTTCAGTTTGTTTTATTTTCCTCTTTCATAACCACTCCCAGAGGACTTTAATAGTTGTGTTTTTTGTGGATTAGAAAAGCAAGTCACAGCTCTCTATGACATCAGTTTATTTACAGTGTGTCTGTATGTGGTTGAAATTGTCTCATCTGAATTGATATGAACCAAATGTATTCTTGTTATAATAAGCTTCACTATCATTTGATCACATTTGCACTGAACATGTGAAACTTATCAAGGAGAGTATTGCAGCCAAGTGAACTGTGCATTCCTTCTTTGCAGCGATGTGTCCGTCAGACCTCCAACAGCTGTGGAAGGAGGTGTCGGGGGTGCAGAGCAGTGAGGAGGCCCTGAAACATGCCGAGGGCCTGGACTTGAGCACCAACAGCTCTAACTCTACCTCAGCCTTCCCCAAAGCTGCCAGTGCTCACATCCCACTGCACAGCCTGGTCAACGGACAGAGCCACACCCCAAAGAGAGACAGGTACAGTAAAGTATAGAACGTAAAAATACTTAAAGGGATTGTTTGGAATTTTTTAAGTGGGGTTGTATGACATACTTATATAAAGTCAGTGTATAACACAGCAGTAGAAAGCGATTCCTATTTCGAGTAACAGATAGGAATAATGCACAGAAGCAAAATGATGCATTGATATGGGTGGGGCTTCAGGGAAACATCTGTTAACCACCTAAAGAAACAAAATTCACTTAAAATGTACCCTATAATCTGAATATTTTCACCACTTTACTTTGCCGTCAGAACATCCTTTCAATAGAGAGGCGAAGTCCGGCCCATCTACTTCCGACCCATGGGACCTTATTTCGGAAAAATTGTGTATTGAAGTCAATGGGGAGAGAAAATGTATCTTTCGATCCCGTTTGAATTGTGCCACGAATTACACATATGATGTTTTTCAATCTTAAAAAATGATTTCCATGTCAAAAAAAGTCACATTTTGTTGTAAAACTGTTGAAATATAAGACTATGAAAAATACGCAACTAGAAAGACTGCAAATCCCAGAATCCCGGTCCCGCATGCTGGCTCTTACGGAACCGACTAACTCCCCTTTTTGGTATGTACAGCTCTCAACCTGCCCAGACTTGTAGTGATTTTCGCCTTATGAAAGAAAGAGGTGAAATGTGCTAACGTGACGGCAATCTTG